ATGCTCACTTTTGACTAATGGACCGCCTGTTATTTGCTCTCGGCAGTAATTGCAAACTAAAAAAGCAGCGCTTTCATAAACCACTTAGTCTTTTTTTTTTTTTTTTTTTAAACGCTCTTGGGAGCTTTTCACAAACTGTTGCAGTCGTCCCCCTTGAGCAATAATGAATAGTTTGGCTGTCATTGTGCCTTTCAGAGATAATTGCGACAACATAATGAAATCAACTGCTTCTTTTCCATAAATATTGTGACCAAGAGAGTTAAGCTTGTCTGTAATTTTACAGTCAAGGTAAATAATGTGCAAAACTCTTTATTAACACTAATTCTGTCATAATAAAAAAATCTATTTACGTAAGGGTACATAAGTTAGACAAGACCTTTGAGGATGAATAATAGTTTTTAAATCAAACATATAATCTCTGTGTTTAATTATTTGCTTTTGTACACCATTGTTCGTAATCAAGCCTGCACAGAAGATGTAAGTTGAAAATAAAAGGGTGCCAAGGACAGATACCTGAGGTACTCCACAAGTCTACTGAGTAATTAATGATGCACAATTAATGTAAGAGTAAAGATGAGTTTTTAATAGCAGTAGCTGTTAATATCTTTCTATAAACATTAACTATGCCTATGTATTACCAGTTTTTAGCCAAACAAGCCTGTATTCAGTTTGTAAAACACTTCAAACTCGTAGTGTGAAGAAAGATTGTTAAAATGTCTTTGAGACTTTCGCTTAGTTTGATAAGAACCTTTGAATGATTGATAAAGTGAATAAAACAATATTTCTTTTTTGGATTTTCCTAGTGTTAACATCTGCATAAAACGGATAATAGTACTCTGTTATTCTAAATCAGATTAGCTCAGAAGTGGAGTTTAAATGAAGAGTAAAGGGTACCAAGGACACACACCTGAGGTACTCCACAAGTCATCTTAGTTTTTGATGACAGTAGCTTCCAGGGTTTTAATGGTTTTCAGTTTTAAAAGTAAAGCTCCCACAAGGTCAACTTTCTTTCCCTGACGCCGTGTCTTCTGCAAGTGACACTTCTAAATAAGTTAGAGGATTGAACAAAAACTCATATTTCAACTAATAAATGTTAAAATATAAAATAAAACTGATTTTAAGATTGGTACTTAGCAAGTGGGTCACAAAGCAAACCCTTCATGTGAGAAGTCTTTCAAAATAAATAACATGTTTTTGTTGTTTAGCTCATTCTTTCAGTTTTACCATCTAGCAACATGATAGTTTTGTCTAAGACGTCTCAGTGAAAAATATTTATCTTGGAAAAGCTATTTAACTTCACCAAAGCCGTTGGAGATATTTAGTTACTCTAGCTGTGATTAAAAGGAGGATTTTTGAAACTTTTTGTGATGAATTGCAGCAAAATCAAACGGTTTCGGGTCATCTTCTAAAATTCTGTCCCAAACACTCCTAAAGCTGAGTAACAAACAGTAAGAAATATGAGGGAAAATATTATTTGTCAGTTAATAATAAATAGTTTGGCCATGGTTTAAATAGATTTTGAGTGAGAACGCATGACCTTCCTGTACTTAGATGAAAGACCGTAACTGATGAGAATATTTGCCTCCTGTGTGCTCTGGGTATTTTCTAAGCTTTGAACAACGCAGTGCAGATCTGGCTAACTCAATCTTTCAAGTCTAAATTAAATCTAGTTTGCTTTAAACAAGCCAGCAGTCAGATGAAGGTATTTTTCCATCCATTTCTGACCAAAACAACTAGCAATAGATTTTGTGCTGCTGTCCTGTTTAAATGCATTGATCCAGTCCCCATCCTGCCTGCCAGTACGGGAGATTACAAGCTTCCAGTCTGGGTGACAGCATTAGTACAGGGCCAACTTCAAGCCTTACAGTCAAACACACTGCAGAGAAGCCAACCTCTGCTGTTAGAGAACACAACATGACATTAAAGTTTGTCTCAATTACATCTAATTCAGACATAAAGCAGGTTAAAATGTAATAAACTTCATTGAACCAGCTTTCTAAGCTCATTAAATGAAATACTTTTGTACCAGAGCACATTGTTTTTGGTCATGATTATACCCAATCATCCACTTTTATAAGTGGATGATTGATAAAACATGGCTGTAACCTGGTGGTTAGACCATGTAACCCACTGTGTTTTTCTACTCTGTTTGGACATTTAATGAGTTTAAGTGTTTTCAGGCTTAGAAAACTGTGGAAAAAGAGCTCAAGCATGTTTGTTTCTCCATCCATCCACCCAACCAGTGGTTTATCCGTCCGTATATCCATCCATCCATCCATCCATCCATCCATCCATCTCCCATTGTTTGTGGTGTTAGCAGGTATTTAACCTCTGACCTCCTTGAACAGGACAGGGAGTTGTGTAGATTGGTTGTTACTTTGACTTGAAGGATTCGTTTTAGTCTCTGTGGTTTCTGTCCGGCTCATTGAAACTCATCTGGAGCTAAAGCTGCATTTTCAGACAGTCTGCCTGAGTCATGGTTTATCAGGTGAGGTTTGGTGACAGCTGGACAGGCTTTGTTTCGTCTTCTCAGCAGTCCTCCGTCCTGCCTGAAGACAGAATGAGGTGCAGTATTAGTCAGCACCTTTCTGTGTTCCTGTAGAGCAGCTGAAGCGTAATGTGTTGCCCTTCACAGAGCGGCGATTGTATTTCAGCCTCTGCAGCACTCTCCAGTAAGACTTCTGGACATTTCTATTGATTGGTTGTTTGGAGAATTTAGGCTGTGGGATCAGACGCCCAAAATGTTCTGATGTGCAGGAAAATGAGCCGGCCCAAATCTGGATGACAGGGTCATCATACGTGGATGTCAGGGGATGATCCAGTCAGCTAATCCAGATCACAGAGGGTTGGGGTCCAGCCAGGGACAGACTTTCCTCTCCAACTCATCCCCAGCACATCAGCAGCTGGCCTTGACCTGCAGGTCTGCTCTGTTTGTTGACAGTCCTGTTATGTTCTGGCAGATTGGCATTAGCACTGCTAGCATCTGCTGGTTGGAGATTAGATGTTAGCTGCCACGTTTTACTTTCCATCTGGTCTTGATGTCTAATCGGCAGAGACGGGCAGAGGCCCAGAAGATGTCAGGACAGAAACCAGTTTTTCTGTGTCTCTCAATACCTTCACATTTCTTCTCATTTTTGTAAAAAGGTGGCATCAGACTCTCACTGTTTTAAACTTGTGCGTTCTTTAACCTCAGTGCTGACAGCTTGATTATAGTCTCTCACCAATGGCTGTTTCTGACAAGCTAATAGAGGATGTGAAACAGCAGGTCGGCCATTTTCTCTCTCTCCCTCTAATTTTGAGGTGCTTTTGGAGGCCGTAGGACTGCCTCCTTCCTGATTCAGTGTCACGTCAACCTCAGTGGTCTCTTGGTGATGGATGATGAAGTGCAGAGTCTCTTAACTTCATTCTTGACCTTACAGGTTTGATTTGGTGGCTCAGGCTGCCAGCTACTGAATAGAAAAAGCTAAAGCAAAATGTTGTCTGTTTCAGTCTTCAACAGAAAATATTTCCAAGAGCTCCTGGTTGTTGTTCCATCGGCAACATTTTCCACCGACACAGTTTCCCTCTTTAGCAGTTGGGTGGATTTTGGGGGGCAAACCTTGTTCAGGCTGCAGGTCAACAACTGAGATTTGCCATTTTTACAGGAGTTAGCATTTTACTTTCTAGATGCGTTTGTTGTTGGTTGTTACAGTGGTGTGGGTAAAAGCAGATGTAGGAGGTTTCTGATGAATTTTAATTTTTGAACAGCATGAGTAATCTAAAAGATGACCTCATCTATGGAGCTTCAGCTATGAGAAACTAAGAAGCTTCTTTTGTTATTTGGGGAATTTTCTGACCGTCCAAAGTCAGAGTCTGAATAAAATGATAAATTCATGCAGCTCTTCTGCTTACATGTTGGCAAAATAAACTCGAGTTTAAACTTCTAGTTGGTTTAAACTTTTTAATCGTTGCTTTCACCACAGATGTAGCCATGTTTAGGCTAGCATCTTGTAGCCAAATCTTAATGATCGAAGATCAACACGTCTTTCATGAATTGCGTTTTCTCTTGTCCGTCTTATTGTGCAAAGTGACTAAGAGATCTTAGTATTCATTTGGCTGAAACAATGAGGAAAAAATAGTTTTTTGTTCCACTGGCCACTGCTGGTTTGGTTAAAACAACACATTTTTTTGACAATTTAAAGTCCTCACATTAAAAGTTGATGAATTTCAACAATGACTTTTCATTCGTCTTTCCGTAAATTTTCCAAACTAGTTTCAGCTGGTGACAAACCAGCTCTGTGTGTTAATAAAGGTATAAACCAGTGGAGCTGAATCCTCAGGGTTTTTTTCCACAGTTTTCTGATGCCTCTGCGTTCATTTCCTCTAACATCTTTAGCGGTGCAGGTGATGGATAGCTGCAGCACGGCCGGGGCTCTATAAATAAACCCCCCTTCATCTGGTTTGTGGTTGCAGGAACGAGCAGGACTCTGCGGCTTGCAGTCCTTTCTGGGTTGGATGGTTTGCTTGTGCCGCTGCAGCCTCTCTCTGCAGCCTCTCTCTTCTCTCCCTTTGTCTGTGCTCTGCTGCAGCGCCCGGCCCTGCCTGCAAATGAGCACCATCGACAGAGCGATTATTCAGCACGGGGCAAGCCCTGCACCCCATCCTGCACCTCGCGTTGCACTCCTGCCGCATTCACTGTCATGTTTGGATGCTTCCCGCGTTCAGAATCTGAGCGCCTTCAGGAGCAGAAATGAGAATAAAATGCTCTTTGTGGAGGTTTCAGATGCAGACGGAGGTCTTTCATCTGTAGACCCAGTCTCCCCCCGGGGGCTGGGTGAGCCTCATATCCCTTTCAAATATGAATTAATGTCTAAAACATGAACATGTTTCTGGTGCTCAGACATGGCTGGAACCCAGCATCCCCAACCCCCATCGGCGTGTTGCTGCCTGCAGCCCCAACTGTTGGTGTGTATGGTGGAGGGGATGTGATTGGCTCGCTCTGGTTTTGTGTGTGTGTTGGTGGAAGAAGTGTGTAAGCTGCAGCAGTGTGCTCTCGCCGGCTCCAGTAGCCGGCGTAGAAAACATCAGTCATCCCAGCGAGAGCGCCGCTGCCCTGATGACTCCGTCTCCCGCTCCTCTGCCTCCTTCTCATCCATTTATTTCTTCTTCTCCTCTCTCTGCAGAAGCCGCCACCCGCCGGCCCATTCAGCCCCTCGCTGCCCACGCCAAAAACTGGACCCGCCTCACCAGGTAAGCTGCTAAAAGCAACTGCGTTCAAATCATCTAGAATATGCATGTAAATCCCCCCACCCCCTACACTTTTTGTCCCTCAGGGCTTTCTTTTCTTCCCACCTTTAATTTCAAATCAATATTCCTTCTTTGTCCTCTTTCTTTTGTTTGCAGAAATTCAAATTTCTCAGGATATTTGCAGCTATTGAAAACAATTGAGCTGATGTTATGATAAGCCCAGGGTTGGTTCTGGATTTTAATTTATTTATTTTTTTGCTGACCTTTAGTCTTTGAGACGCTCTCTGTCTAGACAACACAGATTATTCAGCCACTAGCGTGCCGTGAGAGCATATCTCGGGATATCTAACACCATTAGCAGCTTTATTTTCGAGACATCTTAGCTTGTGGTGCCATGTGCCGGTAGCCAGTAGCTTGTTGTTGGTTTCTCAACCAGGCCAGGCGACACCACGGGACACGTCAGACTGTCTGTTCTCGTTGGCAGAGCTGGCTGTCAAAAGTTCTCCATCGGTTCGGTCAGGGTGCGCTGTCGAGCAGGTGGTGTATGCTGCTGATGAAAAAAAATCACAGCAGCCTTCTTCTTCTCTGGATATTCCTAAGACTGTGTACTGTTTTAATTTGTACCGTAGGAAGACTTGTTTATGTCTTTGTTCTGCTGTTTTTAACCCTTTTAATGAAGGGCGTCATGTTTATGGTGGTGATTTTTCTTCCCTATTTGTTGATTTCTGTGGATCTGTTTGAATTTATATGACAACACAAAAAAAAAAACATCATAGCCGCTGTTTACAGGAGTTAGCATGTCAGTTGGTAAAATGAATAGCTAACAGTTTTAGCTTGGATATTACAGAAACGTAGCCAAACATTGTTTTAAAACAATCTGTAGCATTAGGTAATAGGAGTTAGCATGCCTGTTGCTGTCAGTAAAATAAATAACCCGTGAGCAGCTAACTCAGCTAATAATCAATTGGCATATTTTTAGCACCCCCATGTAGCCTAGCTTAAGGGGAAACGGTCAAAAGTAATATTATGCAACATAAACCACAAACATTGATTAAACACAGTCTGATTGTAGCATGTTTGCTAACGTAATCAGTCACACAATGACTTGATGAGTTACAGCAGTTAGCATATCTGTTGCTAATGTAACCAGCAACAGACATCGACACAAGTCTCCTATCATCAATAGCCTATCTGCTGCTTAGGACAACTTTCCAAAAGGTAAATGACAAAAAAAGACAGTAACTGTGAAGCACGGTGGTGGAACTGTTATGGCTGGTGATTGAGTCTTTCCAACGTTCAGTACTCTGTTATTTTGCCCCTAGGGGTCATGTGAGGCAGTGATTATTATTCGGTTGATGATGGTTGGGTATCAGAACATGGAGGGTTGCGTAACGACAAAGATGCAGATTGGAGTTGTGCTGAAATGTGGTGGGAGGATTTTAACTGGTGGACCATGATGCACATCGCCCACATCGAACTGCTAAATGGATATCAGCTTGTTTTTCATCACATTAGAAGCACTAATTTATATTGTTGAGAGGACATTTTATCTGTTTGGATCACATCCGTGACTGGTCGTCTACTGGGTCCATCACATGCTCACCAACATGACGGCCCGCGCCCCCGCCGCACCCATTCTCTGTCCGTCTCTGTTTCCGTCCGCCTGACGGTTGCTGGGCAGCTCCCAGGCGAGCCGTCTCCTCTCCGGAGACCGACTCAGGGTGACATGCAGGACAGAGGGGGGCAGCGCGCCCTTCCTCTGCCCTCGTTTTTAGGGATGGAACCAGAGGCCTGTCCCCCACTTCACCCAGCGCGGTCAGCCCAGGTTGTTGACGTCTGCAGCTGTGGGAGTTGGTTACGACTAATCGCCGTTAGTCAGCCAGGGCTTTCAGATCTGGACATGGAGGTGGTAGGAAGTTGCTAAATGTGCAACGCAAGGCCTTTATGAGCGTTTCTTTCCTGTCGTTCAGACTCCAGCTACAACTGAAGCCTGCTCGGCGAAGGTGTTACACATCCTGGAGGTGGTGAACGTGTGGGAAGGTGGCAGAGCAGGAAAGCAGTTCTCACACCGCCTGCTGATGTGGAAACTCAACCACACAGACTTCTTTTACATTTCTGGGGATGTTCCCTCACCATTCATCACCAACAAAATACTTCTGTACTGTAATATAAAATGTTATTAGTGAACGTAAGGTCATATCAGCCCTGATGCACTGGTGGAGGAAGTGTCATGGTGAGGAGATGTTTTGAATTTATGTGTTTTTGTTGATTCTTCAGCTCTCAATTATGCTTCATATGAAAAATATCAGAGAAACATAACTGTCTTTTTGGAGCTTAAATGCTTTGCATGGAAGTTGCTCGTTAGCGCCCTCATTCTGTTTGGAGGTCATTTCATGCCCAACCTGTCAGGATCAGCTAAAATACAGCTTGGTGCTCACATTCCTGACCTCTAGAGAAGTTCATAGGAATGAAATGTCTGCCTCCAGGTTTCATTTCTCCCCGCCTGGTGGCAACATGTTGATTGATGGATGGAAAACATTTTCATTCGGAGCCGTTTTGCCGCCCGTTTCCACATTTTTAAATGCAGCTGTTGCCTTCGGGGCTCAACAGCCAGCACCTGCTTACGCTCGGTTTTAATCTCCATGCTTTAAGCTCGCAGATTGTATGGCGGTCGAGCTGTAGAGGTTTCTGATTGGATGTAGAATATTAAAGGACACTTGTATGTGAAATGATTTCCTGAGTGGAAAGTTCAGGACTCAGACCCAGATTTCCCACAGTTTGCTGTCCTAAACAGGATATTACTGCAGCTCCTGACCCGAGGTTATGTCTGACTATAGGATCCAAAGTTCCTCCACACACACCTAAAGAAAGGAAGATTCAGGTTTCCACAACTTTTAGCTCCACACTCTCCTTCCTGGTTTTACTTAATTAGATGGTATTTGGGTTCCTGTGTGTGATGTATAAGATCATCTTTTCTGATTTTTCTGTCAGTCTCAAATGTTTTAGATCTTGAACAGACAGTAAAAAGTAGAACCATGGTCTGGTATTTGGAGCCGCTTCACACTGAACGACATACTGTTTAAGATTATTTTTAGGTGAATTATAGTAATTTAAATTCTTGTTCCTAATTTTATCCCTTCAGTTCTACAGTTATATGTAGTGCTATGACACTTCTATTTTTAATTATATACAAATTCTTCATGGAAAAATCTTTGTAAAATCCTCCAAATTAGTGTTGCCTGTGCCTAAATACTTTAATGTTCTCATGTCCAGCTTTTTTTCTTTTTTTTTTTTTTGGCTAATTTTTTCTAGGGTTTTTTTTATTTATTTATTTTTGTATGCTATGTTTGCTGTTTGTTCTTTATTTCCTGTTTCCATTTTTTAAAGCACTTTGTGTTGCTCTGTCAATAACAGATTCTGATATTGTTGTTAAACAGATTAAATTTTGTCTTCATATTTAATTACGGGTTGTGGTTTTTCATGCACAATCAGCTAAATTTAGTTTGATTTCTCTCAGTTTACAGCGTCTGTTGACTCTTGAATAACATCACCATAAAAAAGATCCCAGTTCAACACACTTTGGTTAAAAACAGGCTTTTTAGGTCAAAAGTTCTAACATTATTTACGCTACTTAATACAGTAAAACATCGTTGAAGTTTAACACAGTTAGTAAAATTTCTGGAATCAATAAAACGTCTGAGACGGCTGTAGATTTTCAGATTCCCCAGACCTCTTGCCTTTAATGTAGCATCCTGTGTGTGTTTTATGGAGGTGTGTGTCGGCCTGGGGATGAGCATGTTGGGCTCCCTGTGTGTGGGGAGAAGGAGGCTGTCAGGGTGAATTATGGGTGAGGAAGTGGGGGTGACAGCCAACTTAAAAAAGGAGGAAGCTGGGAAACCTCAGAGGGCTGCTGTCTGATTTTTCCGACCGGACCCCCAGGTTGAACCGCAACACCGACCACAGCTGCCTCACGAGTCACGTTATCACCATAAATCCGCTACTTTTCTACATCATACCAGCTTTATAAAAAACAACTGGAAATGTAATTAGTACTTTAGTCTTGTAGTTTGCAACGGTGAAATACAAGGTTGATATAATAACATGGTCAGCTGTCATGGGGATGTTTGTGTCGTAGTACAACGTAGATTTAACATAATGCCATAAAGTACAACGTAGTTACAACGTAGTACCATGTAGTATAGTCCAACATAATAGAATGTGATACCATGTAGTGCTACCTCTGCCATGTAGCCTCCTCTGACTAAAATCTACTTTCAACATGGATTTTTCACAGTGTGAATGTTGTGAAGGATAACTGGCTTATCTATTCACATATTACAATAAAAAACAATTATAATTACAAAGAAATTTAAAAGAAAGCCATTGACCCAAGAATTGTACACTAAACCAAATAAAAGTGTTGTTTTTGTTGTTTTTTTTGTCAGTGACCACGTCTATTTGTGGATCAGAGGTGTATTGACCTCAACCAGTCCTTCTGGTTTGGTTTTCGCAAACCAAGGTCGCGTCTAGATCCTCGTTTAAAAGCGTCGAGGAAAAGCAGCCGCAGCTCGTTCCCTTCTCTTTCTTTAAATTTATTTTAAAAATAGCTATTACCTAATTTCTTAAACATCTTTTCCCCATCTGCCCCCCCTTTTGATCCTTTTAATAAAGATGAACACAGTTTTTCTGGTCAGTGGAGCGCTGAGATTAAGATTCATTTCCTGTTTTTCATTCCTCATGAAGAGCCGATATCTGTGGATTAGCTCGGCCTCTGACCTCGTTCTTCATCCGTCGCTCTGCTTTCTGCCTTCTCTACAACCCATTCATCTCTTGGAGGAAGAGGAGCACATGGGTCAACACGACGCGAGAATGGCTGAAAATGCTAAGATGTTCGACAAGGAACGTTTTCTAGACTTGATCACAGTTGACGAGTCACTCTGTGTGATGAACAGAATTTGATACGATAGACCTTGAGGATCACTGATAAGAATGTGGGCATCAAATTATCAGCACAGCTTCCTGTAAAAGCTTCAGTTAATGAGTTTGGAGATGAGATGAGACATTGCTTAGATACTCTGTGTGATGACAAGCTGTGGGAATCAGGGAGTCAGGGGGCGGATTCCATTTCTGGAGCTTTGACAACAGAAACACAGAATGAAACGCCCCAAAATGATTCTGGACTTTCATAGAAACATTTAACCCTTGTGTGTCTGATGACTGAGGCTGACGAGTGATACGGGTGTGGGGTCGGTTGGACCCCATTTGTAAACACAAGGGTTAAATAAAGAAATTATTTTTTTTTTTGGGATCTTTATGAAGAAATGGAAAACCTAGAATATTTTTAATGGTGGCTAAACAAATAAACTTCCTTTTGCTAGCACTATTCAGAATTTGGAGCCTAATGATGGATTGGTATCAGAAGAAATAAGCTGTTTTCCAAGTAATTAAAACTTGTGAGAACATTTGGAGCTAAATCATAAGGGGAGTGAATTACAGTTTCAATGTGCCTTCTGTACTCTTGATTTAACCGAAAGCCTCAAATTCCTCGTCAGTATAAAACATATTGTGTGAAAATAGACAAAATTACCGGCATTTGTATGCATAAATTGTAAATGTAGAGATAAAACTGCTTACATGAAAGTCAGTGGGTCCGTTAGGACACCAATGATATCACAAAATCCAAACTGTAGTTTGGCAAAAACCATGAAAGTTAACAACAACCAGGTGAGAATGATGAAGTTCAACTTTTTACCTCTTCAAACTTTGTGGCTCTTTCTATAAAGCAAGTTTTTTATGTAATATGTTAACACTGCACAAGGCATCACTACTTATACATCTATCATATTTCCAATAGAGAAATGTTTTTATGTATTTTACATCATTTAAATTGTGACAAATGTGAGTTTTCCTGTCATTTTCCAGCAAATGGAGCAGAGCAGAATGAGAGAACAGCCGTTTACTGTCGCTGTAAACAAATTCTTTGCTTTGGTGCTTCTATTCCTGTCATTTCCTGATATTTTAGGGGCAGGATGGAACCACAAATCTCTGTGTTTTTCCCTCTCTTCTTTATATAGTAAGCTTGCTGTTCTGGCTCGGCCGCCATTGAAAGAGAAATTACTTCCTGCTGCACTCTTTTCTTCTTATTACAGTTGCTTTCCTTTTATTTATCACATCAAGCAGCTTCCCTTTGGAGAATAGTTTGTCTCTGTCTCTCTCTTTTTTTTTTTTTTTTCCTTTTGCGCCGATAAAAGAAAATTCCTTAAAAATTTGCCAAGAAGCAAAATAAATCTTTTAGCTTTGGTTATTCCTCTAATTTGTCGATCTCGATTCATAACAGGCAACTGTTTTCACATGTTAAGTTTATTGAAGACAAATCATTTGGACAGTTTTTATTTAATGTAAGAAATCATGAGAAAATGTCTCATACCTCTTCCGTGCAGTAAACTTATCAGATTTGTGTCTCCTGCCAATTATGCATGAGATGTTTAGTAAAATCCATACAAAGCCAATGCTTAAATATGGCCCCATATGGTTTAGATCAGAGGTGCCCAAACTTTTTGAGACCTAGATCTACTTTTTCTCTTTTGTCTAAGATCTACCACATGACACGAAGATATAAAAACTGTGAATGAAACTCTATTGACTTATTTTATATGTGAATATACATCAGTTACAGCAGACATTAAAGTAATAGAAAACTTCATGCAGTTTCTTCCTCAGTGAGATTCTGACACTGGGAGGAAGTTGCTGGTTTCTCATAGTAAGAAGCTGGTTGCAAACCAGAGGCCAGCAGGCATCAATCAGTTATGGTAGATCTAAAATTTGGTTTCATGACCTCAACGTGAGAAATTGCAGACTGATGGGAGGAACCAAAGAGCACTGATAAGTTAAAAGCACATCTTCTGAAGTTGGGATATTTTTCCAGAGGTGTCGCCTCAAACCAGATGTTGGACTGGATTTTATTTCAGCGTCATTTGTGAACCTCGGCTCCTCATTTCCAACGTCGGAGCTATGCAGGTTGAAAAAGATTGTCATTTTGGAGAAAGTCTCAACATTTCCACAAAATAAGAGACGAAAATAAATGGCACACACAGAATAGCACAAAACCTTGTTGAAACAATAATGAAGTTAATTATTTTGTTGGATCATTAATTTGAACACGTTTTGTTGATTTTTATGTATTTATTTATTTTATTCTTTAATGAAGTTACAAATGTGATAGTGTGTGTCTGATGAGAGAGCATTTGCAAAAAGGTGAAAAAAGTGTGACAACTTCACCAAAACACACATCCACTGGGCGGTGCGGAGTCGTATAGCACCGGCAGAAATCAGCTGGTCAGGGGTATCTGGATAGTATCTTATTATTTCAAGATAATTCATTTAATTTTTTTATTTTTTTTCCAGAAGGGCGGAAACGGGCTTCCGTAAGCTTCACTGCACAGTGACATTTAGCTTACAGAAAGAGTGCCAAGCTGCCAAATTAACAAAATTAAACTGACCAATAACATTTAGCTTTAGGATAGACATGTGTTTTATCCCCCCTCCCCCACAGACTCACACAGTTATGCGCTACGTACAAGATGTTTTGTCACAAAATATTTTTTTTTTATTCATAGTGCCTGTTGGGTAATAAAAAATCCATTAACTTTTTTTTTTCATTTACTGTAAGAAATATCACAGTGCGATTTGCAGTACTGGTCATTGAATTGTGAAAGTGCTCCTAATTTATCGTACAATTTAATTTGTCGTCTGCGAGCTACTCATTAATTAATTGATTGGTCTACTGTTAGGAGGCAAATTGTTTTTGCTAGTATGAAATAAAGAACAAACCATGAATTAGCTGCATCTTAGTATAAGCCGCAGTGTGGGGAAAAAAGTAACGGTTTATAGTTCAGAATTTATGGTATATTAAATATATTAGATACTAAATATTACCAGAAAAGGAGCTATATATTAGATATAATTTTCTTTTTTTACATTTGGCTCCAACTTTTTTAGTAAAGTTAAGAGGTTAAATCAGGAAAACATAAAAACCACATAATCATCTGCTAATAGTAGAATAGTAACATTTGACTTTTCCTCGCCTTTTTTCAAATAGTTTTCCTTCTTCACTCATAAATCCGCATCTTCCCTGTTTGCAGAAACTCTTTGTTTGCAGAATTGTATTATTGTCTTAATGCTTGTTTTGACACCTGAACCTCCCTGATGATCCTTTCACACTCTGTAATGCTAACAGGATGCTCTGCGTTCCACCTCCTTACAGTTTCAGAGCTACACACGGCCGTCTGTCTTTGAATCTTGGGCCAAGATTTAACTCCTTCATCCTCTGGATCGGCCCCAGAGGGCCAATCCAAGACTTTAACAAATCCTAAAAACAGCTCACTGGAGCCGCTGGTCTACTTGGCACAGGAAGGATGCTTGTAATCACTTGTTGGAGCAAAATTACCATCCCTGCAGTTGCCTTGGAGATTCTCCGCCAAACCTCTGCTTCTCCTTTTATTAGTCTGTTGTGTTGCTGAAGTTTGTCTTGATGCATTGATGAGGATTTCCAGCTTCTCTGAATACTAATGACACAATTCAGTCAGGCACATTATGGCCTGAAATGTTATGGTGGTACTAATGGCATTCATTTCAAAGTAAATTACCATAATAAACAAAATAATAAAATGGATCAAACTTTATTATTACATTGTTTTGGCTGTGGCTTTGTCATGATGAGTAATAAACGTTGCTTACAGGCAGAACTGAACCTAATGCACGGCTCTCTGCAACACAAGATGAAAGCGGAATGTGTGGAAAAGACTTTAATATGATTTAAGGCTCACCAGATGGGATTTGGTTGTTTGCACTTAAAGTTGTGGATGAATTAAATAGGCCTAGGCTTGCTTCTTCAAATATCTAACTGTTGTTTGATGATTCTGTTTATTTCCCTTCGTTTCTCATTTTTATCTTAGGTCTGAGCCAACAGTTCAACGCCATACCTTCCTGGTTCAACAGGCAGAGAAGCTCAGCTTTCAGCTCAGGTAACTTGGCATCACAGGCCGAGTGGATTCAATAATAAATGGTGACTTAAATGTGGAAAATTAAAAATAATATGAAATTCCAGCCTCCATTTAGTTATGAAAGCAGAAATAAAATCTTGACCAATAAAATTGTTGCTTCTGCACTGCAGAGCTAAGCATTATAGCTACGCATTAAGTAGCTAAGCATTACATAGGTAAAAGTTACGTTGCGGAACATCATGTAGCTAAACGTCATGTAGCTAAGCGTCATGTAGCTAAGCGTCACGTTGCTGAACATTATGGAGCTGAACGTTACAAGACTAACGTTCAGCAATGTTTAGCTCCTTAACGTAGCTAAACATTACGGAGCTAAACGTTACACAGCTAAACGTTAAACAGCTAAACGTTACGTTGCTGAATGTTGCATAGCTAACGTTCAGTAATGTTTAGCTCTGTAATGTAGCTAAACATTACGGAGCTAAACGTTACACAGCTAAACGTTAAACAGCTAAACGCTACATTGCTGAATGTTACATAGCTAACATTCAGCAGTGTTTAGCTCCGTAATGTAGCTAAACATTACGGAGCTAAAAGTCATGTAGTTAAGTGTAACATTGCTAAACATTATGTAGCTACACGTTGGTGTTCAAATGTGGCCCACTGCCAGCTGCTTCATTCAGCTCTACTCTCTCTGACATTTTACTCTCACTTTTCCCATGACTCACGGGGGTCGGCTGGAAGTGGCTGCATTCAGCCAGATAATTGGCTTGGCTCTCCATATGTGTATAATAGCAGGGGATTGTGCTCGGTTTGGGCTGATGTCATTTTGACCCACAAAAAGCAGTGATTAAGTTAAACTCTGGTGTTCCAGTTTAACCCCAGCTGGGTTTGAAACGTTAGTTACACGAGAGGACGTTTCCTGACCAACCTGTCTGTCCAGATCAGCTGGAGTCTTGAGAGGACATGGAAGGAGGTTGACATGATGACAACTCATTTTCAGATTACATATACACTGTCGAAGTTATTTAAAATATTTGAAACATTCTCCACGAAACCATACATGAAAAGGGAAGTTCCACTGTATTTAATTATTGCTCTGACCAACGTTTTGGAGAGCAGCTTTTTACTTGAGACATTTAATGACTTAAGGTGTTTTATAGAAATTGTTATTGGATGTTAAATTACATAATATTATGAGTATTTAATGTTTACTTATTGTGTTGTGTAGATGGTTCTTATGGAAGCGTTTAACTGCCAGAGCTCAGAAATAAATTTGTAAGCAGTAACTTGGTAAAATGAGAAAACATTCTCTTATTAACAAGATTTATGTCTCATTAAATCCAAAGTATCTTTTTTATTTTGGTAAAAAAAATATATATACTTTTTTTTTTTTTTTACCAAAAAAGTATCTCCTTTGGGGGAAAAGTATTTTTTTTTGTATTTAAAAAAAAAAAAAAACCGGCAATAAAAGTATCTTTCTATTTCTGTTTTGTCACACCAATATCTCTTGGAATAAGAAACAAGAAAAAGGAGAGTCATAGTGATCTCCATTATGTTTTTTAATAAGTCATAATCAGCTAGAGAATCATATTTCTATATCTCATTGTAAAAAGTGAAAGTTTCTCGTTATGATTTATATAAAACTCCTCATTTTAACCAGTTTTACATTTTGCTATTGTGTGAAAGTTTCTTATTTTGACAAGATATGAAACTCTCCTACATTTTACAAGAAATGTTCTTGTTTTGATGAGTTTTACATTTTGTTATAAGGAGAAACTGCTCCTGAGTTTAATTGAACCTCTGTCAATTAAACACTTTAAGTTTTTACCTTTATAAATCAAATATCTATTCGCTACTTACTTAACTTTCTGTTTTCTAAAACAAAAATAGACTCTGAAACTGAAGTAAATTCAAGTTAAATGTACACAAATATGTAGGTGATGTAACTATAAAAAATGTTTCTTTTTTACTAAAACGCGTATTGGATAAGCTGGATAAATTTTGACCACATTATAGCTTGTGGGTTTGAGACATTTGATCTTGAGTGATAAATTGTGGGCTTTATGAGCTTTATGTTGGCTTTATTTCGATGTTATGCAAGCGGTCATCAGTAACACCAGCGCATCGACTGGTTTAAATGGCTCCTTTCGTGTCAGAGCAGTGGGGAAGGAACCCCGAGGCGGCACCGCGCCCAACACGATCCACTGACCTATTTCTGGATGGTCAGAGTCACTCCGTTTGCTGCTGCCGTCCTCTACCATCCACTGACCTCCGTGACTCTATGTTGTGGTATCACTATGGGAACAATGGCATCGCTGGTGTCCTCTGAAACACTTATTGGTGGTACAGACATGGAAGGAAAACACCAACTAAAGGCATTAAATAAGCTAAGATGAAAATATTTACTGCAACAGTAAATATTTTACTGTCGCAGGTTCGCCAGCTTCACCCTGGCGACCTGTCCAGGGTGACCCCGCCTTCGCCCGGAACGTTAGCTGGAGATGGGCACCAGCAACCCTCCCGACCCCTCTAGGGACAAGGGTGTACAGAAAATGGATGGACGGATGAAAATATTTTACATTTCAGAGATGAAGAAGAAGCCAGTAACAACGCTAAAGTTTGGAGGGTGAAGTGTCATGGTTTGAGGGTGCTTGAGTAATATATGACATTATCTATAAAAGTAAAACTGATGAAGAATTGAACTCTTAACAATAACCGTGTTTCCATCAACGTTTTTTTTTTTTTGTTGTTGCAAATTTTGAAGTATCGCTGGTCGATGGAAATGGCAAAATTTTAAATAACTTCAGCAATTTTGATAAAGTTTTTACGCTTGCTTTGATGTTTTTTTGCTTTTCCAAAAGAAGAGTTCATTTGCAATAGCAGAAATGGAAACACATTTATCAAATGAGTTCTAACAATAGATGGATAAATATTTTATTGATCCCCAAAGGATGGAAATTTGTTTGTACCAGAATAGACAACAGGAAGCATCTCAGTGGCGTTAAAGTGATTGCTCCCATATTCCTGGTATTTCAGTGTCTAATCTTTTCTAAGTGTGGGCCCCACCCCCCATGCTTGTGAAGGCAGGCTCCAGTGCTTACAGTTTATTCACACTTCCCTGACGGCACTCATTATGCTTTAATTCTCCTTTATGTGCTACTGAGTCAATGAAAGCTAATCTGCTGCTGCGGGAGGAGGAAGTTGCTGGTCTGGCTTAAATACAGGATAAATAATCTTGTAGAAAACTCGTTTTAATCAAGGAACGGTTTATTGCTTTAATTTTAGATTTTAAAATGACGTGGAAATATCATTCATGGCTTCATCAATGAATGAATGAATCCTGCAGAATAAGAAAGTAGTAACAGAAGGCAGTAACATGCAGTCTTGTTATAGTTGCGGTAAGTCCAGACAGAACGTATTTTATTGGGTTTTATGTGAAAGACAAACACAAAGCAGAAGGATAATTGTGGAAGGAAAATGTTCCAGAACGTTGTGTTGTTGCTATTCTGGAATGCAGTGTTTTTGATGTTGGAAGGTTTTTTATGTATCTGAATCAAAGATTTTTTTATTATTGCTGAAAGAGCTCCCATTCTTAGAAGTATTTAAAGAATTTATGTCTGTCTTTATTTCTGTAATTTGACAGTAATTGATATTGGATACATTAGATGTAATGTTTTTTTTTCTTTAACCTTCAGTTAACATTTAGATTTTCCATGCTCTTCCTGTTAATTGTAGTTAATTCATTGCATAGATTCATTTGACTTTTGAAAACCAGTGAGGTTAGTTAGATTTTGAAGAGGCTAATATTAGCTACAACTAACTGAGAAACGATTTATATCAGAGCTATGGCTCTCCATCCAGGGTGCCATCCTGTCAAAGAGAGACAAGAAAACATGAAGGTCAGTTTTCCAGAACAGGATTTCTTTTGCTTTTTTAGGTGTTCAGTAGTTGAAGACTGAAGAAAATGTAGTGTTTTTTCCTGGTGTTTCAAATGAATATGCACTTCATGTGATCATTTCTAGCTTAAAATCTAAAGTGCCAAAAAAATAAATTGAAGACAAACTACATTATTTCTCCTGTTTCAACTGAGTGTGCTGTCAACACACTTATACATAATTATTTTAGGTGCCAACACATCAACAGACCTGCTAACGCTCACCACACAAAGTTTCACGAAGCAGCTTGAAGTCTGAAGCAGGACTAGTTTACATTCACTATGCTGACTGGAGTTTTTCCACACTAAATCAAGGTTTGCAGGAGAATGCAACTTGGAGTTTGAAGATTACATCGGACCATTTATTGTATTTATTGTGTCTAATATCTATTTCTTTATTTTTCTGCTAAACCTTACCTTGGGACCGAATGGTCCGACTGGTGGAGGTTGTCGGACACATTCAGCTGCTCACACACAGGATTAAGGCCAGGTTGGCCTACAGAGGAGACAGGCTGCCGGAGATCCTGCCTCCTAAATGGATGGTGACATTCCGACGTGAGCAGTGCTCCGTGGAAGCACGAAGGCTGACCCAGATCCGGGCGGGGCTGGATTAGGACCGAGGTGGGGGTTGGGGGGCTAATGGGGAGAGGTGAGGGGCGGGTGGGCGGAACAGACAAAAGAAGAACCTGAAGCCTCTCTGGCTTAGCGTAACTTCTCCTAGTTAAAAACCTGCTGGTGTGTTGAAGACGGAGTGCTACGACGTGATCAGATCTGACAGTTGTTTGGGACTCGTAGCCGTGTCGATTTAACCCTTTAGTTCAGTGGCGTAGATGCTGACGTGCTGTAGACTCTGAGATAATGATGAAGATCACAACATAGCCAGGCTAATTTGAAAATATCCACCCCATCAAACTACAAAGACATCTTAAAGTTGATGTAGATTTTACAGAGATAATTTCCACTAAAGTTCTTTTTTTTTTTTTTTTTTTAGTATTTCATGTTGCAGATGGTGAAAGTACAGAGAGGGGCTGGTAAACAGCTGAAAGGGAGCAGTAAAAAGGGCAACGTCAGCTCCAGTGAACAGCAGGATGACAGGATCTGCTTGGAGAGCAAGGTTTACAAACCCAAACGAGGGTAGAATACGATTAACATAAGTTTTGAGTTTTAAGAAAATGACAGGATAAAGGTCAAGCTTTACATTATTTGTAATAATTCATAAATCAACACTATATTTATCATGATTCTAGATTCAAATCAGTGAATAAATACTAAGGTACTTTAGACTTGAAGGTTAATAATAGCTACCTAAAATAGCTAAACCCAAATATTCAGACTACTTGTCTGAAATTACTTTTTATATACAATTTATTTAAACTTCAAATCAGATAATAACTATAAGTAAATTCCTGAAGATGTGTGTTAATCACTATAATTAGTCTGAAAATTTAATGAAATAAGTTGGACTGGTTAGCTAAGTAACCTAGCTTAAAGCTACATAGAAACAACTCGGTTATCTGAAAACACACAAATTACTCAAAAGGGATATATATTACATCTAAATGTAAATGTATACTTCAATTCTGAAAAGAAAAAGTGTGTGTCGTGGTAATGAAATGAGTTTAAAACCAAACAAAATGAAAGTCGTGAGTTAAAATAGCATTAAAATGTTGTGTTGACGCAAGTGAAAGAGGTGAGGGTCAGTTCACATTGTATCCAACGGCAGGAGTTCAATGTTTGGTTCAGGAGATTCGTTCAGGTCAGATTCCTTTAATCCTGTTTGTGTTGACTATAACAGCAGCATGGCTCTCTGCTGACCGGAGGGATTTAAACCCGTAACCTCCAGATTCCTGCAGAGAAACCTACTCTTTAAGGTTTTCAGTAAATAAAAGAAGATTTTCCAGGGTGTAGCTTGCAGAGTGTGTCGTTCGATTTTACCAAAGCAGCAGCGGCAGCAGGTCAGTGTGATTCCAGGCTATCTTCCTCCTTGGCAGCAGCTGCGCCCCGCCCTGCCTTCCTTCTGACTGTGCCCTGGGCTCGCCTCCTCAGCCTGTCTGGGTGTCACTGGGTCCGTCCTGACTCGGCAGCAGCAGGAAGCAGGCTTTATTAGCTTTAGTCTGGTGAAGAGCAATGAGCTGCAGCTGCTTGGTGATGATGATGATGATGATGCTAGCCTTCTGTTAATCCTGTTGGAAAATCACCATGCGTTTGCCTTGGAGAACAAAAGGCTACATGATTAGAGAGTTAGATACTTTTGTTTGTATTTCTAATGAGTAGAGATGATCACTGGGAGCTGCTGCTGTGTCGTTTCCTGCTCCATTGAGGCTCATTTTACTGGTTTCTGCTCAGCTGAGGGATGTGAGGATCCACTCTGCACATGGATGCTGAGACAAAGGCCAGACCAACAGCTCAGTGCAGCCGCTGGCTCCCCCTGGTGGCAGGTTTAGTGTTGCTCTGCAGAATGTGCTGTAGATTTAAAAATAAAGTTTAAAAATATTGGTCAGAGTTCCTTTTTTTTTTTTTTTGTATATATCTTTGGATTTTTATTTTATTTTATTTTTTTGCCATGTATGGTATATGGTATCTGTTCCTGAACTGATTTTTTTTTTTCTTTTTTTTTGCTCTGATTATTGGACATGGAAATAGTTGAAAATTCAGGTATGCCTTTATTTTATTTTATTTTTTTATTTTGGCATGTTTTTTGGGTGACGCATGGCCTCTTCCTCCCCCTCCTCTTGTTTGTCCCTCCTCAGATCCAGTAGGTGACCCTCAGGCAGGTGGACATGGCAGACGGCAGGCAGCCAGAGGACCACTGGGCCGCCAACGGCCAGGAGAACGGAGAGAACGGCTACTCATCCTACGGCTACCGGGAGAACGGCTACCACGCTGCGGCGGCCGCTCCGCCTCCAGCAACAGGTAGGGGGAAGCTGCATGCTGAAGCTTGTGGAGCAGAGCAAAGACATGATGAGACGAGGACAATAAATTAATCAATCAATCCACCTAGCTGTTCTCATTTTATGACAGAAAACATTAAAGTTCCTCATGAATTTGTTCAATCCAACAGTAGCTGAAGAAATAGCAAAGGACAGGACAGAAAAGGAAGAGAAGATAAAGAGAATAGAAGAGAAGGAAGAATGCAAGTTAGAAAAGAATGATGACATAAATAAGAAAGGCAAGAAAGGAAAGGATGGAATAAGACCTAGAAATGAAGGAGGTACGACACGAGGTAAATGATTGGAGGACATTAGGAAGGAAGGGTAGAAGAGCAAAATGAAGAAGGACAAAAAGGAAGGGAGGAAGGAAACGAAGAAGAAGTCAGGTGTAAGGGTATCCAGGTAATGAAAACTCTGAGGTGTCTTTCCAGACTGCGTAGGAACCTTTGAGTTTCCATCTGCCAGAGTTAGTTCTCCATGTCCGACACAGGGCTCCCCAGAAGTCTTCACTCCTCAGAGTTCGTCACATTCTGTGTCATTCCAGCTGTGAACTGGTGCACAGTTGTAAAGCGGAAGGAAAATGATGGAGGAAAAGAAGCAGGAAGTTCCACTGATGCTTCAGTTACTGACTTCCTGTTGGTCCTCAGGATCTTCAGATTGAAGTTTCAATACTTCCTTTTTTCTTTCTTTTTTTTTTTTTTTTACAAACCAACTAAACTAAACTAATTAGTTCTCAGTTGGATCCAGGTCTGGGCTTTGACTGGACCATCTTCTTTTTGAAAAATGAATACTTTTCCTTCCCCTTCACAATTCTGCTCTACTCTGTGTTGGTCTGTCACATGAAATCGTCACCGTTTAATCTTTGGAGGTCGGTATGAGAAGAATATTGAGCATTTCTACACTAAAGGAGTGTAGAAAGCTGCTCTGATTCATCCGTCATCTCCGTCTTTCCATCCATGTCCCGTCTTCCTGCTGTGTCTCGTCTCTCTCTCTCTGTCCCTCTGCAGTGGACGACTCGGCCAACCTGCCCCCCTCCCCTCCTCCATCTCCATCCGCTGAGCAGACTGGGCCCCTGGCACAAGGTACACAGACCTTTAAGGAACAGCCTCCTTCCAACATGCAGGATGTGACATGTGGTGAAAGTAGCAGAGAAGTTCTCCTGGTCCTCAGTATATACCACTCTGTCCTGGTCCGCTCATAATCTGGTCCATTTGACCAACTGTACTCTAGTACCTCAATCAGTTATTAATAGTAATAGTGACAACAACTCTCTTCTTTAAGACCCATCAGTTTCTACTGGTCTGCTTCTCATCGTCAACAGCTCACTGTGTTCTTTGTTCACTCAGTTCGTTGATTTTTACCATTCGTCTTTTTTCCCCCCCGCATTACCAAACTGGTTCCAGTACTAAAGTGAGTCATAGCAATGGTGCTTTCAGTTGAAGCCACCATTTCCAGCCAAGAACTACTTCTTCTGTCCCAACGCCAGCTCGGTTTCCTGTTTCCACGCAAAATTAGCTTAGCTTTCAACAATAAAAACACCCACCTAGATTCAGCAGCAAAAAACTGAAAGACTGGGAAAACACTAAAAAAATGATATTTTCAGCTGAATTTATGGGTTTTTAAACCCGTGAAAGAGTTAATAAATTCTGCTATCAGCGGTTGTAAATCTGATTAGATGTCAGAAATGTTGGTTGGTAAATGTTGTAACTAAAGATTGTCATTTAGAAAACGGCATTCTATACATTTAGACACTCATATTAGGGTAACAAATCAAATCCATATTGCCATAAATGTTATATTTGCAAAATATAATGTTTTTGCAACGTTATATTTTGAGTTATGCAATGGAGAGTCTACATCACATAACCCTGATTGCACCCATCTTTGTCTCCATCATATTCAACTATGTCACACTAGTTTTAATGTCAGCCATGTCTCATCTGTGTCTCCCTTCCCCTGCTCAAAGAGGAGAAAGTAGAGGTTGTCAGTCAGCGGCCTCCAGTGGAGGAAGTGGCATATGAGCAACCAGGAGACTTGCACATAGAGCAGACAGATTGTTTAAGGGAGTCCCAGGCTTTGGGTTACCAGAGAACCCAAACACCTGAGGCCGTCAATGGAGGAGATCACCACAGTGAACAGAGCCCAACACAAACAGGTGTGTGGGGTTTTGAAAACAACATGAGTGTTTGAACAATGGACTCTTTCCTTGTGCATGACCCTCTGGTGCTCTGCGATGGGTACAAAGCTGTCGGCTCTTGGTTTTTCTAACTTGTAATGCAGCTCAGGCTTCGCTGCCAGCCTTCCCTGCTGCTTTGTTGCTCTGGACTTTGTGAGCTTCTGCTGCAGTTCTTAGAGCTGCTGTTTGCAAAATAATCACGTGACATAGCATTTTGATTTTGTGCTTTGTTTCATGCCTAACACAACCATTTGCTTTTTTTGAGCACATAATCAACCATAGCATGGTTGATCATTTCTGCACCTTAGTATTGCCAGCTACATTGCAAATGCTAGAATCACTGTCTAAACCGTCATTGTATTCTGTATATTTTTCTGTGGGTTTTGCTGGGATATTGTGATTGGAAAAACTGCTGAGTATCTCACAAATAAATGCTGAATGCATTTAAAGTCTGTTGTAAACCATTTGCTTTCTGTTTTTCAGTTGTCTTCATATCATCCCACAATAAAGAATAAATGTGTTTTCCTATTGTTTTTTAAACCAATTTGGGCTTTAAAATTAACTCTCATTGGACATTTATTGTCATACTAATAAAGCTTTCACCCCTCAACATAAGTTACTTGTCATTGACAAATAAGTATGATTAGTTTTATCTGTAAATCCCTCTTTATTACAATAGGAATTCAATAAGCGTGTGTATTACCATTATTTATTGCCATTTAACATCATGCAACTCATTCCTTTGTTCCAGTTCTGCACGCTATCTTTGATGCTGTGACCTCCCCTTGTGCTGTTGTGGCCTGGCACAAAATACACTGTGCTGTGTGTTTTGCTTGATGGAGAGTATCTATGTGCTGGAAACCTCAGCTTGACTGTATGGGCTAGCTTTTGTGGATGCTGCAAACAAAGCTTTTTGCTAACTTGAGTCAGCCCAGACTTCTACAGCATCCTTCAAACTCACAGCCCAGCCAGCGGAGAGCAAAACATCTTGTGAGTCTGAGGTGCAAGAAGGCGAATGTCCTGTAACGTCTGAAGAAGAACTCGCTTTGAGTAAACATCCCACTACTTCAGAGAAAGATCTCTCGGACGAGTCCTCAGCTAAACAGACTGATAAAGACAGAGGAAATGACACAGAAGAATCCCCTGAAGACTGCAAGCCTTTGGAGTCTAAAGTCAAGGACCATGAAGATGTTTCGCTGTCAGAAGATCTAGCAAGTCTCAAAACAGAAAATAATGCCGGAGTTATGTTACCTAAGAAATCACAAGTTCCTTTGAATGAAAGTACTGAGAAGACTGAGGAAGGAAAAGCAACAAGTCAGGGCAATGAGGACAGTAGCATTCAGAAAGAAACTGTCCAGTTAAAAGAAGGACCAGATAAAGATTCAAAGACTTACTTTGAGACGACATCAAAAAGTCAAGAAGAGGGATCATCACAAGGGTATTATGAACTCAGTTTAACCTCCGAGAAAGGGTTAAGTGTAGAATATGACAGAGCTCTGGATCAATTTGAAGGACAAGAGAAGAAAACTGTGAGGATATCACCTGATAAAGCACCATTAGAGCAACGCAGACTGTCCTTGAACATTCCTAGTGGGTCTTCGACAGAAACGACTGTAAAAGTAGACAAGTCGAGGAGATTCTCTGAAAGCTTGTGTCCAGTCAGTGGAAGCTTTGCGGGGACAGAAGTTCCTCCATTAACCCCATTTGTTGAGACGCATACTTCACCACTTCAGCCTGTAGTCTCCATTATCCCAACACCGACACCATCTGATAGCATCCAGACAATGGCAGATGCTTCTGCTGAGGGGCATGGTTCTAGCTCTGACCAATCAGAAAGCCTTTCTGATATGTTGGACTTGGCTGGGGTCCCACTTCGTCCATCAATACAGATGAGGGACCACATGAGACGAAAGTCAATGCCAGCCAGTGCGCTCCTCGGTAATGCCTTTGACAAGCTGAGTCTATCAGAGCAAATCTTGACAGAGGTGGCAGGGGAGAATCAACAGGAAGAGCTTGGCTACTGCGTGTTCAGTGAATACTCAGCACCCATGCCTTCTCCAGCTGATGTACCAAATCCTGGAGATTCTCAACACCAGCACTTCCCTTCTTTGGGTTCTGAAGAAGAAGAGGTTTCTAAAGTTGTGGAAACTGAAGCTGGTCAAACTCAAGTGCAACAAAAAGATCAGAAAGAAATTTCTCAAAACCCTGTGTTGGAAAAGAAAGATCCACCAGTAAAGACCTCCTTGATTCTGGAAAAAGCTGTGACTAGTGGATTAAAACCAGATCGCTTACGAATCCCAATGACGGCTTCGAAAGACCGTCTTACTGAACTTCGTCTGGAGACTGGCCTACCTGGGGACATAAAGATCCAGGCAATCCCTGAGGTGGATGTTGAAAAAGACCCCTCTAGAGAGGCCTCACCCATCCCACCGGACAACTCCTTCACTTTCACTCCTGCAGAAACTGGAAATAGATTTCCCCTGAGTCCCATCAGCCCCAAGTCTGAAGGAACCCTAGAAACTCAAGGCAGTGAGCCACAGGGAAATGATATGCCCAACAAATCTTCAGAATCCAAGAGTGTTGATGAACTGGAGGCAAACAAAGTGATGACAAACACTAAGATTGTAGATCAACAAGAAAAAGCTGAGGAAGCAGACAGAACCATGACGGCATCAGTGGAGCCTTTGCAAGATAGTTTGGAAGAAAAGCCTTTAATCTTAGGAGAAAAAGAAACACAAAAACCTTCAGACTTTTCTCAGCATTTATGCATTGAAAAGCCAGGAGGTGAAAAGGCTCCCCAAATCCAACTACCAGAGTTAACGCTAACAAAAGACTCATCAAGGCCACAAGTATTATCTCCAATCATTGTAATACCTCAAGCACAAGTAGATGAAGAGGTCGAAGAGGAGGATGACATTGAGATTGCGGAAGAGCCTCAAGAGATTATGGAAGAACCTGAGGAGATTCTGCACTCCAAGAGTAATATAACAGCAGAAAGTATACCTGATATACCTGAAGTGGAGGAGCAGAAGAAGGACCAAATGAGATTGATGGTTTGTGATAAGATGCTGGACGATGATCCCAAGTCGGGAGCTGAAGAATGGAGTCATAGTGCCCTAAACAGCGATGAAGGCGAGCCTGCTACCGACAGTTCACACTTGTCCCCATGTTCTGACCATGACCTATTACAGCAGTCTGAGGAAGGTGATGAGGAGGGAAAAAAGGAAGAGGACCTGCAGGTAGATAAGATGGAATCGTCAAAAGAAGAGAATGAAGGGGTAAAGAAAGATGAAACTTATCAAGAGGAAGTGGAAGGAGTTTATTATGATGCAACTGGTGATGAAAAAGAGAATAAGGTCTTGATTGAAGAGGATGGAACGAAAGAGAAAGACATAGAGATTGGTGAAGAAGCAACTAGTCTGGCAACTAACGATGAAACCACAATGGACGTGTCCATCCTGGATACAGACAGTGGCTGGATGGACCCTCAAGGTACCCAGAACATTTAATATACCTATCACTTCTACAATATAGTCAAAGATCTTCAATCTGTATACTTAGAAAGCTGATATGCCTTGATGTAAGCTAGTACCTAGCTATGACAGCTGTGGAGAACTAGTCCTCTCTTGATACTTTTCTGCTGCAGATGATGACAAAAGTATTATGACTGAGCAAATCGAAGCCCTTCCTCAGACACAGAGTTCTACTGCTGCAGCTACGGTGGTGGACTGCCCTGCTAAACAGTTACCCGGCAAAGGAAGGGGGCGCCTTGGCACTACTGAATGTAAAGTGACACGCAAAGCACCGACCTACCATCCCCCAAGAGAGGAGATAAGAAAGAAAAAAGGTTCTCGTTCTGTTTTCAAAAAGTATTTATAGCCAGAAAATTAACTTTCTTGTTACTACCAAAACCCTTGACTTTAAAACCAGCTTTTTATGTCAAAACTGAGTTGTGCATGATGGTATAATTATGTCTTTCCTCTTCGCCAGTAGGCGTGAGGAGGGCTGACCAGAGTAAGGTGTCAGCCCTCCAAAGTCGCTCTCCATCTCGAAAGAGTGGAGCCAAAGTGGCAGCCAGACATCCTAGGCCTGCTCCGCTTCACGGCTCTGCTAAGCGCAAGGCCACAGGTGAACACCTTTCGCCAGGTATCAGCGCTGTGAATGGAGAGAGATCACATACATGTTGTGAAGTCAGTATATATGTGACCTATGTGGAAGATTCAGAAGCAGATCTCTCTTTATTTTTGGCTCTTTGAGAAGTTGAGCAGTGGCAATGTAGCTGGCAAACATCGTGTGCTTCTTACCCATCAAACGTTTCCGTTACTTTCACTGCCTTAACTGCTGTCTTTCTTTGCATCATTATTGTTTATTTCTGCTCAGTGTTTCTTTTGTTTATGATTCTTGTTTTTTAACATAGAGGGAAATAAAAAGTTAAGTCTTGTTTAATTTGTCATCTTTGAAACATAAACCAAATGTGGCTTGCTGTTTTGTACCTTTCCTTTGGAACTGTCCATTCATTACATGTGTGCACCACATATGTGCAATCCTAGAAGATGTCTCCCCCTAGTGGTTAACATTGAGTATTGCTTCTTTTCCCACAGGTATGGCACACCACCAGCCACTCAGTGTGGCCCAGCCGTCCAGGGAGAGGCCCACTGTAAGTAATATTGTACTGTTTTAACAAATTCTAGATCGATGGGGCGTGCTTATGTCACAACCCAACGAGTATTTTTCTCCCATACAGACTTAAAAATATTTAAATCTGCAAAATTGATAAGGGGCAAAACATAAATAGAGAAGGAGAAAATCTTTAAGCAAGAGCAGTAGTTGAAGCATTCACTAAGTCCGATGAGAGCAGAAGCATCACTTTGAGATTTACAAGCAAGGAGGATTGTTGAGTGGAATTTTGAGAGAGCAGGCAGTCTAATGCAGTCCCACATCACTCTGATCTATGTTGCTTCTTGTCGCCTTTCTGCATGATGTTGGCTAAATATATCTGCATGTCTTCATCCTTATATTGTTTTCTTCTTGTCTGATGAATCATGTCGTCTTGCATGCTCGCCTTCTGTCTTTGTCAGTCGCGACAGAGAAAATCTGTGAGTAAAGATGTTTCCATGCAGAAGAATCCCATATCTTCATTACTATCATCTTTCAGTCATCATTTCTGTCCTTTTGAAGTGTATTTTCCTTTCATTTTTCATCTCTTCGTCGCTTCCTCTACCTTGCATGCGTCCTCCCCTCTCATTACGTGGATTACCCAGAGCCCCACGAGGGCCGTTCTGTTAAAGATGGCAGTGCAGCGCGGTGGGGGGTGCCCCCGACCGAGCTCTGCCTGCAGCCTTAAACGGAGCCCCCTGGTGGAGGCAGTGATATGCGAGGCTCGGCCCGCCTCTGCCTGCTCCCGCTCTCCCCCTCCACCAAACAAATGGGTAAATTGGAGAGAAGAGAGAAGGTCTGGGGCATAGATGGGGGGTACCTGTCTGGATTATTGACCCTGTGGTGTGTGTTGCTTCAGGAGAGAACATACCGCAGCCCGGAGAAGAGGTCATCCCTTCCTAGGCCAGCCAAGTCTCTGACTCGCCATATTCCTGCTGCTGAGCAAGAGGACAGCACCCCCTCCAGGCCAACCTGTAAGATTACACTCCCTCAAATGTGCAGTTTTTAAATCTCACTTCCTTCCACCCTCCTGCTCTCCTTTAAACTCCCTGTTCTCTCCTAAAGCGATCCGAACCGACTCCAGAGGAGACGGCAGGTCTGGAAGAGCCCCTAGTATGGCAGGTAGAGCACCCTGTAGCTCCTTCCCCATCAACAGCTAAACATTTAGTCATTGATCTCCATTATATCACAGAAGAGCTCCATGCACGTTTACATTGTGGCTCAGTCAAAGCCCCTGCTGCCTTATCAGAGAAACAGGTGGGATCCAGACCAACAGGTGTGCTGCTTCTGGGCTTAGATCCTATTGGTGTTTTCTCTGGTAACCTGGCAACAAGCAGCTGGAGGACAAATGTTGTGATTAGCCTCTGACTGTTTAAACATTCCTGTTTAATCTGGGCTTGTTTGTCCAATGAAACTTGAGCACATGTAGCCACATGTGCTCATGTCTAACCATATGAAGCAGACCAAAAATGTTTCATCTTAGATTTGTCTTTTGTCTTCAGGAAGGTTTTTAGTTCAGATCTCTTAACACTTAATTTTTTTTTACCCTGACATCACCTGATTAGTTCCTTAACAAAATAATATCACTCACATTATATGATGATCCTGCAAAGGGTTATTTAGGCCAAGATGTGTATATGATGTGTATGTGTATGGCACACACTTGTGTGTGGAGATTGAAACTGGACTTGGATAGTTGTGGACGTTGAAAACAATCGTTCACTAGCGTATGGCTGTTGAAGTAGTCAGTGAATTGGATGAAGTACTTCATCCATACTTCACCTTCCACCTATGGAAGATGGGGTTCTGGGGACAACTGATCAAATACACTGACGTCTTTTAGTGCAGAGGATGAAGTATCAGTTGCTAAAATAGACAATAAAACAGAAAGTAAAGACTTGTTTTGCGTCAAGGCAATCGTTTTTCTTATTGACTAGTTTGACTAGTCAATGTCCAGTCAGTTTGAGGCGTAAATGTTGCCACAAAATGTTTTATTGTACAAGGTAACATCTTGATTTCTGAGTACAGATCATAATTTGAGTTGCAACTAGTGTATGGTAAAGGAGCAACCTTTCTTCCTCCCCTAAGGCACAGACTCAACCCGGTCCCGGTCGGTCCGCAGTGGCGCTTCCACCCCAGGGTCTGCCGTCACACCCGGTACACCGCCCAGCTACTCCTGCCGCACCCCGGGGTCGCGCACCCCCGGCAGCCACACACCCAAGTCCTTCAGCGTCCTCCAGGAGAAGAAGGTGGCAGTGATCCGGACCCCACCCAAGTCCCCTTCGTCAGTCCAGCGGCAGCTGAAGGTCATCAACCAGCCGCTTCCCGACCTGAAGAATGTAAAGTCCAAGGTCGGGTCCACAGCCAACCTGAAGCACCAGCCGAAAGGAGGACAGGTAGACCAACGGGAAGGTTTAATGTGGCCTGTTTGGACCTGTTCAGAGGTGATAGAAGGGCCTGTAGGGTTTTGTTTTGATTCAGTTAGTTTTTTGAGTAGTTTTGCACTTGCTCCCAAGACATGTGGAACAGGGTTGACCTGTTCAGGGGGGGCGGTGTCCAGTGAACCCTATTAATAAAACAACATAAAGTTATTCATTGATTGTTTCTCTGGTCAGATTTGTTCTGAGGAAAGTATAATCCAAATTTTGTGGATGTGCCAAATCCTGCCACATGAAGGCAGTAAATGGCCAGGTTTTCTTCCTATCCTTTAATGGAAAATCACAAAGTAGCAGGTGTTGTGACCACACTGGTTAAATAATATTCTTTTAAATACGATGCCTCGACCTTCTGATGAGCACACATTGTCTCATATTGTCCAATTGTAGACGCATCTGTAGAGCTTTGATGCTAACTACCAGAGATGGTGACATGTGAAGAAGGGTTTCCTCTGGTTCTGTAGAAATGTCATATGTCCACCCTCAGTCACTGTGCGTCCTGCTCCGTGTCCTCTGCTCTGTCCGCTGCCATCTCCGTCTGCCGCCGCCTCAGGCCTCGCGTCTCCGCCGTCTCTACATCCTCCTTCCCTCTGCTTCTTTTTCTGTCCCTCTGCTTCCTCCTCGGCGCAGCAGCACCAGCAGCACCAGCCGCACCAGCAAACACGGTTAGATTTAACAACATCTGTCTGTGCAGGAAGATCCGTAAAAACGCTCCTCTTTGGCTGGAAGGACCACCAGCCCTTGGGAGCTGCTTTGGTCATGGCTGCCAAGGATTTTCCCTCCAGCTCTGAGGAGTATTTATAATCCAGCTTCTAGAGCCACTCAGAGCTTCTAGAGCCACTCAGAGCGCAGAAAAGACTTCATTTAACCTTCTCTATTTTTTTAGCGGTTTTTTCTTAAAAACAGATGCTTTTAAGAATTTCCCCAGAGCTCTCCCTTCTGAGCCAAATATAGAAACACAGGCAGTTAAGGGAGAAAATCTTGACTGAAACTTTATGGGGATATAATGTACTGCAGATATTTTGATTGTGAATCATTGTCAACATTAAATCTAAAAACTTAAACCTTAAAATGTAAGAATAGTTTTATAACTTTCTTCAAATTTAGATGTAGTATTTGGTAGAACCATCTTCAACTTTCTAGTTATTATTTTTATTTTATTTTATTTATGCCTTTAAAAACTAATCAGTATGTTTTTATGTTACTTTGAAGTCTGGCCTCTTCATCTCTGAGAGGCCAGAGTTTTTCCACAGCGGATGATGATGATGATGATGATGATGATGATGATGATGATGATGATGATGATGATGATGATGATGCTCCTGAATGGATATTTTCAAGCTGATTATATGTAATGTAATTACATTACATACTATAATCAGATGAATGAAGCACCTTCAGGTGTTTTAGAAAGGTGAACCGAGCTCCGTTATTCTCTTCCTGATTTATTTTGGGATTTCCGTGATGTCACACAAAGAAGCAGCATGTTTTAGGTGTTGTGTTAAAATTTATCAACAGGTAGCATCACCTTTTTTTAGCAGCATTTAAAAGCTCTGACATCAGCTAAATTTACAAATTTGAAGAAAGTGTTAAAAAAGAACATATTATTGAACTGATTTAGTTTGTTTTTATATATTCTGGTTAAATTTTTAATAAATTAAACATACAGGTCTGACATAAATTATTCAAGGTCTCGTTGTCGCACAGGTTTTTTTGTCTTTTTTGATAGATACAGAAGTTTGTATTATTTGGTGCTGGTGCGCTCCTCCGCCCCCTCTTCTGATGCCCCCCAGGGCAGCCGCCCATGTGGTGTCCATCTTGAACTCTGTGAAACATCAAAGCCTGTTGAGCCTTATGTTTTTCCCTGAATCCCCTTCTCTATTCCTCTACCTTGCCGTTCTGTATTGTTTTCCCTTTTTAAAGTTTTTTTTTTTTTTTTACATAATTTTAAACCGACACAAGTTGAAAAAAAATCACCTCAATTACAACCTTTTCCTTTAAGTTACCCATTGCTCAGTTTTTATTTTTTTTTTATTTATTATTATTTTTTTTTTATCATCATCAACATTATTATCCCAATTTTATTTTAGGTTCAGATTTTAAGCGAGAAGCTGGACTTCACTCATGTTCAGTCAAAGTGCGGCTCCAAGGATAATCTCAAGCACACGCCCAAAGGAGGCCATGTATGTAACTTTTCTCTCTTTCGCTTCTTTTGCTGTTTTTTTTTTTTTTCAGCTTTTATGCTCTGACATCCTGCTTTTATATGTGTCCATCTGTTTGTCTGTCAAACATTGAGGAGTTGAACTCTTGTTTTCTTTGCTATGAATCGGCTTCTATCGTGTCGAGGAGAAATGAAGAACTGGAACATTTTAGCAGGAATATTTTTGGTGAAACAGCCAAGACGATGTGGTCTATTTCCAGTTCACCTCTGTTTTTTTTTTTTTTTTCTTGGGTCTTTGGATCAGGAAAGCCAATGAACGTGTCATTTTTTAGGTCATGATTCCAAGCGTTAAGCTGGACTTTAGCCACGTTCAGTCTAAATGTGGCTCCCTGGATAAGGTGCACCACGCAGCCGGTGGGGGAAACGTGAGTGACTGCGGAAAAAGTTCCTGTCGTCTCCGGCTCCCTCCATCCCCATCGGCGTCCAGCATGTCTGTAATGTGTAGCTGTGGTGTGTTCCTGTGACTTCTACCTCAGACATTAAATATAGAAACCATTCACGATGTTAAAAAGATGAACCAGCGTCCCTCCAGCATGCGGGGAGTTCAATTTAAACGAGGAACTTCCTCTCTCTGTGGTGTCAAGGTCTACTGCTTGCTCTCTCCAGGAAGTGATGTCACCAGTCCACTTCCTCTGCCATAACCTCACAGATCCATGTTGTGATTTGTGTCTCCCCGCTCCACTCAACGTCTTTAACTGCATTTCCATATCAAAACATGTCAGATTGGTTTCTCTTTTCCTTGGATTGTGATCCCAGCTGCTTCCTTCCTGCTGCAGGTTCAAATCCAGACCAAGAAGATTGACTTGAGCCACATCACCGCCAAATGTGGCTCCATGTCCAACATTCATCACAGACCTGGTAATCATTGTGTTGAATGTGCATTTCTGACCCTACTGGATTCATCTTTGGAGCAGTTTTGTTCACAAAGCTTCCTCAAATGTCGCATTTAGATACATTTTATACTTTTTTTTATTAGCAGATGTTTTTAGAACGAAGCAGGCTTAGTTGTTGTTTCTAAAAAGTTCTCCATAATCACAGTGTTGAGTCTATAAATGTCTCGATCCACATGGAAACACAAGAAATGTTCCAAATTCTTAAAGTAGCATCGTCAAGGTTGGATGTGCGCGACTGTTTAGTTTAAAAAACAAAAACAGAAGAAGCTTAGTTAATGTGACTATGATATTGTTTTCAAAAAGTTGATTCTTGGTTATTAGCTTGAAGATTCAAACATTGCTTAGCTTTGGTATCTAATAGTTACCAATAGTTGCTGTTTCAGTGTTTGAACAAATCAACATTACTGTTGGTCAAAGATGATAAACTTTGCATATTCACACATAACCCTAAAAATCAAATAAAGAACATAAACTGACCTATCAGCCTTTTTATTATCATTATTTCAATCTTAGGCTAGTTAGCATGCTAACTTCTATTAGCATCTCAAGTTTCACAATCAACATTTTCGCTAGTCAATCTACAGTTCACTGTGTGTAACTCGTGCAATAGCAGGTAGACGGTGGTGTGTGCCCATCTTCATGCAGCTGCCATATTAGGTATCTGTGTTGATATATTTATGACTTTAGAGGGCATTCCAGGGGATATTATGAGTTAAGATTTTGGATAGTCCAGCTTCAGATTAAAATTTTTTATTTTTGACAGTAAACTGAAGTTTAATCAAGCAGGTTAACCGTGCGGTAAAGAGTTGTATTCTACAATGATTTGATTTGTTTTGGTATCAGATCATGTCTGTTGTCGGGAGTCTCTTTTAGTGAACCTGTTGGGAATCAAGTGGAGTAACTCCAAAATATATTGACCCTCATTCCTTCAGTAGAAGCAAAATTGCTTGTTAAATCCACAGCTGCTATTGCTCTTCTTTCTGGAGGACAATAAATGGATGTATAGGAATGTTTCTGTGTATTTAGGCCTTCATCCAGAGCGCATGTTTAATGATTATATTTGCTATGATGTGAAACTCTTGCCAAAAAGTTGTCCTTCAAGAGTCTTTGACAAATGGGATTACAAATTAAATTAAATTAAATCACAAATTACCTAGTGGGAACAAGCTGCCAAATAAAAGATGAAAGCCTCTTATTTATTATTTAATGATGATATTTTAGTCTTTTCTACTGTTGTTCAAACAAAACATTTGCCTCAGAGCAATTCTCTCCTTATGTTGTCTCCATATATTATGACTCTGTAACATCAAGCCTTGTTCCCAGGGGGCCTAGAAGACTACCCTGTCTTTGCTCCGGGGTTTCTTGGTCCGTTCAGCCCTAGGGAAGTGTGGCGCTCTCTGGGATGACGTCTCACAGCTTTCTGTTGTTTTCCCAGGGGGAGGAAACATCCGTATCGAGAACGTGAAGCTGGATTTCAAAGATAAGGCTCACGCCAAGGTCGGTTCCCTGGACAATGCCAGCCACATGCCGGGAGGAGGGAATGTCATGGTAACAAAATTTTACATTCACTTTTACTGTCAAGATTTTAAGTGTCAGGTGAAAATATTTATTAAATAGAAGGATGAATGCAGGAAATAAGTCGAGTGAGATGGGCAGTGTTGATGGGGGAGGGTTGAGGTAGACGTGGTCCAGCCCTAGGTTTTGACCTTGACTCCTTGGATCCATTTCTCCTTCTTTGCCGACCAATCAGATTGAGAGCCACAAGCTGAGCTTCCGGGAAACGGCCAAAGCTCGTGTGGACCACGGCGCCGAAATCATCATCACCCACTCCCCCGGTGTGGAGACGGGGGGCACGTCTCCCCGCCTGTCGTCCGCCGGCAGCATCAACATGATGGAGTCGCCCCAGCTGTCCACACTGGCACAGGACGTCACGGCCGCGCTGGCCAAGCAGGGCTTATGAGCTTTCAGTCCGTTCCCCGCCGTCCTCCTGTCATTGTGGCCCCCCTCATAGACATCCAGCGGTGTCCCTTCAGTGCAACATGTCCCCCAACACCTCATAACCCCCACAGTTGTAGTCGATCGGGCTGTCGTTCGCCCATTTGGATTTTAAAGACTAGATTCTGCCGCCTTTAAACAGGAAGCCTCTCAGTTCTTTGATCCTCAACTCAAATATGGATGTTCGTTTCAGATCCGATAGGCCGAAGGGTCGATTGTCTTAGCAAGTGGTTTTTACGATTGTATGACGAATTTTTTTGAAGCGCATCGCCACAGCCCTCCAGAATTTATACGGTACCGAATGCGATTTATTGCTACTAGAAAATTAATGTTGTCTTAAAGGATACAAATGTATGAGAGACTGACAGAAAAATGCGAAAGAGTGGCTGACAAGTGGACATGTCTGCTGAAATGTGACATGAGTTTGTCTTTGTTCGCCTGTTGGATTTTAATGTTTTCTTGCTCTGTTTTCTTTTTTTTACATAAATGTTACTGTAGTGTTACCATTTTGTACCTTCCCTGTGGCTGCTCTGGCTTATTGGCAATTATAATAACCATGGCAGTTGTGTAAAATGTCAAGCGATGAACAGCTAGCTTTATAATGGGCTTTTTTTTTTTTTTTCTTTTTAGTTTTTGTCCCCCCAAAGCTGCCTGTTTACGTTCGTTTTTATATTTGCGCTGTAGTTTTACAAGATTAGACAATACTGTTGTGCTGGCATGGCAACAAAAAAAAACAGATTAAGTTGGAGCTATTTGCAGCTATTTTAAACTTTTTAAGTTTGAACGAAAACGGCCCGGATACAATCCAAGTCAGGCCTGAATAAGCCTTGCGACCCTCCTTGTTTTTGCTAAAACACTGGGTGGTACGTTGTGTTCAAATGGGTTAAGAGCCCAGAGTTTGTTCAGACTAAGTGTGAAGTTTGAAGCTTTATATGAAAACATTCCTGTGGGGTAAAAAAAAAGATAAAATAAATGTGTTGGTTTTGATCGTTGCTGGAAGTTCAGAAGAATGAAAGCTAGAGTTCTTTTTCTTTCTAAAAAAAAAAAAAATAAAATAAGTAAAACGAAACTCTTCTATCAGAATTTTGCTCTCCTTTGTGGAACCCTTTTTGCCCCCGCCAGTGTTTCCCCCGTGCTTCCTCTTTCTCCACCCCCTCTTTGCCTGTGTAAGTGTATTTAAAGAAATGTAGATGTGAGTGCACTATTTCCAATGTTGAGATGTACTGATGATGACAAATGCTCCGACAAAATGACGACCGCATAAATAAAGAAAATAAAAACTGATTTTCTGGAGTTGCTTGTTTTGATTCAGTTTGGTTGCTTCAGAAAAAGCCACTTTACTTTTTTCCTAACATCCATGATAAGGTCAAGAAAATGCTTTTTTTATTTATGGTCATTACTTTTTCTTTTGTTTATGCATTAAAACGGCTTGCTTAGTTTATCTCAAAGCAGTTTTTGCCAGCTATTTTCCAATTGACTCTTCTGTTGTGAATTTTAACTTTGAGACTTTGCGTAGCAGGAATACTTTTCCAGACACTGTCATTATTTACTACATATTTTCAGTCTAGATATCTTTCTAAAGATAGGCAGTGTTTTTTGTCATTGAGGCCCAACGCTGTGGTCACAACCTACAGATACAGATATGAATGTTAGGAGACATTTGAGACTGATTGTAGTTTAGCTAGCATTAGCCAGTTGGCTATCAGCTGGTCAGATTACAAAAACTTCACTGATTTTTACTCAAATATTAATTTGAATGTTGGTCCAGAAGAATGTTTAGTCACAAATGAAACTGATTGTGGTTTGGTTAGCATTAGCTAGCTATTGACTAAATAAACAACAAAACTATCATTAAAATTTGTTGAAAAAATTTACCATTTCTGACGCTATGTATTCTGGTTGGCATTTTCTTTCATTTTTATCCAACAGCTAACAGCTAGCTTCATTGTTAGCTTAATCTGCTGACATGAAAGTGTGGTTATTTCTGTTATTCGACCTGTAAACGTTGTCAGTAGTGTTGTCCCACGCTTTGGCCACTAAATTGGAAAGATTCCAAGAAGTACACTGATCCCATCCCATAAACATTGTTTAGCTGACCCAGAAGTGTTTACAGAACACAGAGTGAGATTGATTAATTTGGTTAGCATTAGCCAGTCATTGACAGATGTATTGTTTGGTTTTCATTTGGAGCCAAAAGCAAATGCAGACACAGGCTCAGAGGTGAAGTGAATTATTTTTCACTTTGAAAAATCAAAACTTACAGATAAAGGGAAAAGAGAAACGGAGGAATGGAAGAAACCAGAGAGAAACAAATGAAACCAGGAGCTTAAATATCAAAACATAGGTGAAAATGACAAAAAGGAACCAGATGGACTAATCGGAGGAAATGAGGTACAATTAACACAAAAGAAAACTAAGATTCAAAAACTACAAACCTAGAGGAAAACCATGACAATCTAAAATAAATAAATGTATACAAGAAACAAAACTGAAAGGAAATGAATGTCTATGGAAATAACAAGCACAAAGAAATGAACTGAACATGTTGAGACCACAGGAACATAAATGAACAAGGGAATGATCAGAACAACACAAACAAAATCCCAAACACCCAGGGATCGTGACAGGAGGAGGGTGAGTCATTATGTAGGAAAGTCAGTTTTGGCACCAAAACTGGTTTGAGTCACATGTTTTGTTGGCTGTTTATTTCTTCTTTGTGGGGATTAAAATGATGTTTAAAGAAAGAATATTTTTCTTTATCTTTTGGGAATGCTAAAAGTTATTAATGTCACACAGGGTGGTCTGGATATTTAAAAACTGGTGGATTTTTATCCACAATCATTTCTCAGTTTTACAGAGAATGAATAAAAATAATGGTGACAGAGAAGTTTATTTCTTGGATTGGTGCTGACAGGAGGGTCGTTCCATGTGACAGGAGAAGAGGCTGGTTGCCTCTTTTAGGGAGCCGAGTGTTAGATGTGCCCTTTCAGCCAGACCTGACCTACCTGGAGGTGTGATCTTCCTGCCAGAACCACAGGGTGACCAGGTGTGTCTGTTCAACACAGGTGTGTCATACCCTTTGACCCCATGAGGTGGGAGCTTTTTAAGAACTTAAAAGTATGCAAAGCTTCCATCCAAAACAATTCATTTTAACTACATGTGAATTAATGAATGTACTTTATTAATCCCAGAGGGAAATTCACATTTCAGTACAACCTGTCCAAAAACAGCATACAAACTTCACACGTCAAAAATAGTTTATGAATCATTTTATTTGTTTTCTCTTCATAGAACATAAATAGAAAAAAATTAGTGTGCTTTAGAGAAAGACTGGATTTAATTTCTAATTCTTTTGGTTGAGCTTACTTACTTTTTCCATGCATGAAATATTAAAAAAGCAGCATGTTCTTTCATTAATAAGTTTCAATGATACGTTTTTAATTTTATGCTGAAAGAAGAAAAACACCTAACCATTTTTTGATGCCTTGGTTGACTTATAAAGTTTGATCAAACTGGACAAAAATAAAATAAAACACAGGAGCTTACCATTTTATCCTGTTAGGGAAGTTTATTCTTGTGTTGCCTCACAACCAATCAAAAAGTAGGAAATAATTTAAATTCTTCTGGAGGATTAAATAAATATACTGCAGTCCAATATAAAAAAGTAAAATAACCTTTTTTCTTCTTCTTTTTGTACTTTAACCGGGTAAGTTAGTAAGAACAAATTCTTATTTACAAGAACATACTTTAAAATGAACAAACACTAACAGCACTGTTGAATCATAAAACAGCAAGAACAATAGGGACAAGGGCATATTATAAAATTGACATTAAATTTTAGCTGAAGCATGTGCAGGTTTCAGACAGCATCTGCTTTAAATTACTACACACATGTAAAACCAATAGAAAACCACCCACATGTCTGATGCTGCCCTGGGCAGCCTCCCATATGGTCCACATCAAACGTTACCTGAATACAATACACGAGTTTTACGACCGATAAATATGATCAGGTTAGGAAAAGTGAAATCATAGTTAGTTAAATGATGTGTTTTATCTTTCAGTCCCCGCATAGGTGTTAAAAAAAATCAGCCTTTATATTTAATTATAAAACAGTAAAACATCTGTAATCCTGGTTTATCGGATGAAGGTCAGACTTGATGGTGATGATGTTTCTTCCCAGGTCATTAACCAACCTGTTGATGCTGACAGATGTCAGCAGAGACGCGGCGTCTTTAGAGGAGCTGCACCCCGAACAGAGCCCCCCTCTGCGGGGTGGAGGAACCAGAAACAATCGGCTCCAGCCCGCTGTTCCGCGGAGGTGCAGAAATCGTTTTGCTCTCCCCCTTTTTCCTCCTCCTCCTCCTCCTGCCGCCGCTCTCTCTCCCTCTCAGTTTCCACAGCCGCCGATCGACACTTGCAGCCATTTTACGCAGGATGAACCCAATCATGTGCTGAGGAGGGAAGCGGGGGAGGAAGGCTGTGCGGATCACCTGGACGGAGCCAGGAGCCGCAGCCGCAGCGGGAGCGCCAGCCGCGGCTCCCGGTCAGCCAGCAGCACCAGTCCGGGGACAACATGGTGAAGAGGAAGAGCCTGGACGAAAACGAGCCGGAATGCGGGAAGGGAGTCCCGTTCCCCATCCAGACCTTCCTCTGGAGGCAGACCAGGTCGGTGGAGGCGGGATAACAGGTGTCTGGTATTGGTTCGGGTTCGGTTCTGGAAGGAGATGTGGAGGAGAGGGAAGGGGGCCGGGGGTGGTTGCATATTTGATGTAAAGTGCCGCACCTGGAAACGCAAATTTGCCCCCAGAAAGTAGGGCAGGCGCAGCTGTGGTGGAGGTAATCTGATTCCAATCATGTTAATGTGGTTTCAGCGCTTTCCTGCGGCCGAAGTTGGGGAAACAGTATGAAGCGTCCTGCGTGGTGAGTCATAATCTGTCTGTTTTTACCTTAATGCACCTGCAGGCCGGTGCTTTTCCTGCTTCACGTGAACTCATCTCCATAATGCTACTGCTGCTGGAGGGGCCATCCGGGCCCCCCACACAGCAAAGAAAGGCTGCTTTAATCCCCGT